GTGATCCCAGACTTGTTCCCCACAGCAAGAGGGGAGCCACGTTCCAGGTAAGAGGGCTCAGAGCCATGCAGAGAGCTCGAGAGGTTCCTGCAGGATCCCCACCATCCAACACAGGGAAGGCACAACTGTGTCACAGCTAAAGTGGGCCATCCCTCACACAGATTCTTGGATCCTGATCTGAGGCTTGTGTGGGACTTGCAGGGAATAAGGGCAATTATTCCCTAGTGGGGAGTGAGAACGAACACATAATTCCTAAATTAACACGAATGCAAATGGGGCAAATTGCTCCAGTGCTGGGATGGTTCCAGCCCCTCCTGCCTGTGTCTCAGTGCATCCCCCCCATGAGGGTGTTTGGTGGACGTGGACCCCGATCTCTGAAAAGTCATCCTTGCTGTTGGCCGTGTCACTGCTGCCTTGTGTGGGGTGGGATGCTGAGGGAGCCTTGCAGGGGCTGATGGCCACGCAGGAGCAGCTGCCTCGCACCATTTCCGTCCACGACAGCCCTTGTGCAAAGACCACATCTGCTGGCATGGCTGATGACAGCCACTCCAGGTGCTGCCTGTCCCTTGCTGCCAGGAGTTCAGCAAGTGCTGCCTGTTCTCACCAGGGAGCTGCCTCTGGTCTCCCCGCAGCCGGAGCCAGGCTGGAGCTGCCAGGTCTCTTCCCTCAGGGCTGGGAGGGACTCAGAAACAACAGAGAATGGTGACAGGAAGAACGAGCATGTGGAGATGCTGCGGAGCCAGCGGGTCTTGGGCTGTGCCAGTGTAGACTGGCCCTTCAGGGGAGTGGGGCTGGTCCAGGAGCACCTGGGTACAAAAGGACCAGGCCAGCTGAGCCAGCCCCACCAGCACAGACACACTCCCACAGGAGATGGGGAGAGGGAGCACCCTGGGAGATGCTGGAAGAAACAAAGGCCCACAGGGCAGACGAGACTGGGGCTCTTTGTGGTGTCACCCTGCAGCGGGAGAAACCCATCAGTAGCCTGGTGAGTGAGTCAGTCACCAGATCCCTGGATGGGTCCTTTGGTGTGTCTGGGGTGGGGAGAAAACAAGCCAAACTGGCTGGGACCTGTGATCTCAGAGCCCCATGCGAGCTCCAGGCTCCCTCCCCACCTCACAAGCGTAGATGTTACGCCCACAATTGCAAATGAATAAAGAGCCTGGTCTGCAGGAGAGGAACGTACTCTGGATGCTTCAGCCAAGCCGTGTGCCCTGCTGCCACACTCAGAGCGATGAACCCCAAACTTCCCTACGTTCTCCTGGTTGGGGCTGCAGTGATAATCTTCATCCTCTCCTGCATGCTGCTGAGCAGGGGGAGGGGATCGCCCAGCTGTGAATCCCAGCCCAGCACCGTGGAGGAGAAGACAGGATCCGTGAGCCAGAGCCTGGTCTTTGCTGACCTGACACCCGAGGAGATGGCGCAAGTGGTGCGGTACCTGCAGGGGAACCTCGGGGTGCCGCTGGTCGATGCCTCGCGCGCCAAACCCTCGGACAACTGCATCGCCTCCGTGGACCTGCAGGTCCCTGCCAAGGCAGAGGTGCTGCGGTTCCTGGACGGCGGGGGGGCTCGTCCCGCCCGAGAGGCCCTGGCCGTGCTGTACTTTGGGAACCAGCCAGACCCCAACGTCACCGAGTACGTGGTGGGTCCCCTGCCAGTGCCGGCGTACCACCGGGACGTGACGGTGCGGAAGTACGGGGGGAAGGTGCTGTACCACCGCAGACCGACGCTGGGCAGTGAGTACAAGCAGGTGGGAGCATTCCTGGAAATGGTGGCATTTGCTGCAGCGCCAAGCTTCCTGCAAGAGGTCCTGGAGTATGACAGCACCAACGTGGCGTTTCAGGCCACAGCCCCTCACGGCTTCCAGTCTGGAGACCGTAAGTCCTGGTTCATCCTGTTTCAGAACGTGAGTGGATTCTTCTTGCACCCGGTGGGGCTGGAGGTGCTGGTGGATCACAGCAGCCTGGACATCTCCCGGTGGGCGGTGAGCAGGGTCTTCTACAACGGGCAGTACTACAGGGACATGGTTCAGCTGGAGAGTGCCTATGTGCAGGGCCGTATCAGCGTGGAGAAGGTGAGGAAGGCACCGAGGGACGGGGACTTCTCCTCCATGAAGCCCCGAGCGCCTTCGGCCGCGCTGTTCCCACTGCAGTACGAGCCGCAGGGTCCTCGCTACAGCGTCAGGAACAACCTCGTCCACTTCCAGGCCTGGAGCTTTGCCTTTGGCATGAGCGTGAGCACGGGCCTGCGCCTGTTTGACATCCGACACAAGGGGGAGAGGGTTGCCTATGAAATCAGCGTGCAAGAGGCGCTGTCCGTGTACGGCTCCAACTGCCCAGGAGGGATGTCCACGCGCTACATGGATGGGAGCTTTGGCCTCGGGCGCTACACCTCCCCCCTGGTGAGAGGGGTCGACTGCCCGTACTCGGCCACCTACGTGGACACACACGCTCTGTCTGAGACCCTGAGGCCCAGCACGAGGAAGGCTTCGCTCTGCATCTTTGAGCAGAACCTGGGCTCCCCTCTGAGGCGCCACTACTCCAACTTGCAGTCGCTCTACTACGGGGGGCTGGTCAACTCTGCTCTGGTTGTCCGGTCCATTGCCACCGTGGGGAACTATGACTACGTGTGGGACTTCATCTTCTACCAGAACGGGGCCATTGAAGGCAAGGTGCAGGCCACGGGGTACCCCAGCTCATCCTTTCTCCATGGGGATGGCCTGAGATATGGCAACAGGCTTTGGGAACACACTCTGGGTATGATACGTACTCATGCCATCAACTATAAGGTGGATCTGGACGTTGGAGGTAGGTTTGGGTCTTGTCTCTCCTTTTTGCACTCGACTTGCAAAACTTGAGTTTTTTTGGTGCTGAGCACCGGCCCATCAGCCAGACCCACACTGGCCCCCGAGCGCTCTCAGCCAGCCCTTTGCCACCTTGTCCCCAGTTCTATTTGGTCCTGTACCCTTCCTGCTCCCACACCCCTCCTGAGATGGGCCTACATCTCTTCTTTGTGGCAGGACATGAATGATGCAGCACCTGGTCTGTGATGTGCAAATGTGCTCAGTGCCTGGGCTGCTCCAGGTGCCTCCATGCTGATGGAGGACATGCTGATGAGCAGTAACACAGTCTGTGCCAGCTCTGGTTAATTAGACTGTGCTTGTACAGAAAGCAAACCTGTTCTTCTGCCCTGGGAAGAGGCTCGCCCCTTGTCCCCTCCTGTCTTTGGCAGAGCCTGATGCAGAGTGGTCTTACCTGGCTCAGACAAGTGTCCAGCTGTAGATCAACACACATGGTGTACATTTGGGGCACGAGGAGCTGCGGAGCAGCAACTGCTCTCGGGCAGAATCAGTGCCCAGAGCTCAGGATGCAGGGAGGGAGGACAGGGAGAGTGGGCTCTGGCTGCAGTGATGTCCTTGGGGAACAGGGGATTGTGGGGATGCTCCTCAGTGACCTTGTTTTTGCTTTTCAGGGTTGAAAAACTCCCTGGTGGCCCACGACATGGCGTTTGAGATGACACGGGCTCCCTGGAGCCCAGAGCAGCAGATAGAGAGGCCACGACTCACCAAGAAAGTCCTGGACACAGAGGACCAGGCTGCCTTCCGACTCCAGTCAAAGATGCCCAGATACATCTACTTTGCGGCCAACAGCAAAAACAAGTGGGGCCACCAGCGGGGTTACAGGATCCAGATCACCAGTTTTGCAGGGGACCACATCCCTGAAGCCAGCTCCATGGAGAGGGCCATCAGCTGGGCAAGGTCAGGCTGTTCTGGCTGGGGTGGCAGGTTCTCAGAGACTTCCCCAGCTCTGTTAGACGGGAAGGCATCACACGGATGTCCCGTGATGGGGGAGGCACAGGGAACCACTCTTGTGGGCTGAGGTTGCTCCACTGGAGCAAGCCTGTGCTGTGCAGGCTCTTTCAGGAGCTGGCTTAGCTCTGCCCTGACTCAGGGGGCTGCTCCCACCTCTTTCTTTGTCCTCAGGTACCAGCTGGCTGTCACCCGGAGGAAGGAGGAGGAGCCCACCAGCACCAGCATCTACAACCAGAATGACCCCTGGACACCCACTGTTGCCTTTGCCAACTTCATCAACAACGAGACCATCACCAATGAGGTGGGCTGGGGCTGTAATACCACCCCCAGGCTCAGTGGGAGCCCCAGGGGCTGAGCACCCCTGGTATTGCCCATGGGACAGCAGGCTCAGCTGGGAGAGCAGCAGCCCTGGGGAACCAGGAAGGCGGGTTTGAGCATCCCCTTCTCTGTAAGCCTGCTCAGTGCTTTGGTGAAAGTGTGCAGAGCAGGAGCTTGTTTCTCCCTGTGGAGAAATGCTGGCAAAACGTCAGGAAAATCTCTGTGAGGCCGGAATGAGGCCACAGAGGTCAAGGCAAGGGCCCTTCCGCTGGATGGATATTGTGGCCGTGGCTGCAGGCAGGCCCTGGGGGAAGGGAGGGGATCTTTCCCAGGAGGGGGGAGCCCAGTGTGTGGGAACGCAGCCACCTGGTGCCTGTGGGTTCCCCTCCTTCTCTCCTCTCAGTCTCCATGGCCCCATGTGGATTTCAGTCACTGCTGCTGCAGCTTCTGAACTAACCCCAGGCTTGTGGCTTTTCCCTGCCTAGGACCTGGTTGCCTGGATAACCACTGGCTTCCTTCACATCCCACACTCTGAGGATATTCCCAACACTGTGACTGTGG